GGAGAAGCCTACCATGCACTGTCTGCTATACTTGGGTGCCATCTACGACAGTTATAGCCTATGCTGGCTATAAGTCACACTCGCTGATTTCTTTTATTTTCAGCATGTATTCTAGTTTTCTGTTGAATTCTCAAATATTCTATGATGTGTGTCTAATTATATGAGCAATTTTAGACATTTAACCAGGTTATTGCCTAGTTGGTAGAAAATGACTATATTTGTGGTACTAACACTATGCCTGATTCACCATTTGCTTTTATATTGCCTTTTCAATATCATTTTTTCACATTCTGTTACTGGCAATTTAGCTTTAAAGCATCATTGTTTTAAAAACATTCAAAATAAAAGTTGAAGTACATCTTCATGCTTGCAACTGGATCAAACAAAGTATTGGACATACAAAAAACAAAATAGATCTTCTAGCTCTTAGGGGCAAGATTGAAGTTTTTAAGTGAATGACAAATAGCATAATGATAACATATTTATGAATTGTATTTTTAACACTAGTAAAATAGAGAATATATTAATGGAATTCTCAGATGCTTAAAGCAAATGAACCATGGATACTCCAAAGAGCCCCATCAACTTTTAGGTGTTATTTTATTTTTGAAAATTAAAGTTAAAGGTACGGTTCTGGGTGAGCCACTTGCCCAGACTTCAGAGTGACTTTTTCTTTCTTTCCCCCTTGATTTTTTGAGTCAGGGACTCACCGTGAACTGGCCTTGAACTCACGATGTAGCCCAGGCTGGCCTTTGGATTCTAGGTGGTCTTCCTGCCTCAGCCTCAGAGTACTGGGATCACAGGAGTGAGCCATCACACCTGACCTGACTGGCTTGTACTTCCTGTTTTTAACAGTTGAAATTAGAAACGTAGTTTGATTCACCTGTTTGGATCCTTCACCTGTCAAAAGTTAGGAGTTTTTGTCATTTTGCAGCACTCTAGTAGGTGTTCTAAAAGAAATTCTAGAGAACTTTAAATGAATTAAAAAATATTAGGTAGTAGATTTATATTTTTTCCAGGAAGCAAATCATACTATGGTAGGCTGTTATGGTCTGTGTCTGGGTGTTCCCCCAAAGCCACATGCAGTCGTGGGGAAGGCTTTTAGAGTTTATGATTGATTCATAGGTGTGAGTGCTACACCCCTCCTGGGACAGGTAGTTTGCATACAGTGTAAGGGAGGGAAAGAGGCTGCTTGCCACCACTCCTCCCCTTTTGCACTTGCTTTTGTTGTTCTGCCACCAGGAATGGTTGCCCTCTGCCATGTGCCACTATGACTTGGAGCCAGCCAAGTATGGACTGAAACCTCCACAGACTGTAAGCTAAATAAATCTTTCCTTCCTTAATTTTGAGTGTTAAATATTTTGTCCCAGCAATGAGAGAAAAGTAACCAAGACAATTAGTTTTGACTTCCAAATGTATTTTTTGTTTGCTATCAGTTGTTTATGTTGAAAAATGTAAGTTATCCTAAGTTAATTAAAATACATTTAAAGAGATAATTCAGGTGCAGTTCCCTTCCAATAGGAAATTTTAATTCCAATATAGAAAATGGTTCTGGGTTAGCAATGCTATACTTTGTCCTTTTAGTGTGATAAGATATGTTTCCACAGTTTGGGTCAATTATTGAACATCTTTAACTACTCCAATGATCTACCTAATTTGGGTCTGTTTCATTATCTTTTAAAGTTGCAGAGCTTTTTGTTTTCCTCTCTATAAAGTTATCAACATTATTTTCCTTACTGTATTGTTGTTGAATGAATGAAAATTGAAATACACATGACAGGTCTCCTGATGAGCTGTAGGAACTCTAAAGACATCCTCCTTGACTTTAGTGAGTTCTCTTTTCCCTCCTGCCCAGGGATTCTTTTGTTGAAGCTGTGAACTTAAGGACTTCAGGGAAACACATGAATCCCCTCAAATTGTATACAAGAAATGTGATATATATATATATATATTTCTGTGTTTCTAGGAAGATGGTTTATATATTTCATCAGTTTTATGACTCTTGATATCTAGCAAAGCTAAAGGAGACCATACACCTAACTGTAATTTCGTTGTATTCTCATCAGGGTAAAAGCACCTCTTATAGTGACTGGTATGTAGTGATATTTATGACAGTTAAGGTCCTCGTAGTAATAGAAGGGTAGTGTTTTTGAAGACAGTTTAAAGAAGGGACTGTTTGCAGTGTTGTAGGCATGGTTTACACCAAAAAGGGGGCAATGGATCACTTAAGGACCAGCAAGTGTTGGGAACTGTTTATCCATTCAGGTCAAGGAGCAAGAATGGGAATTGTATTCCAGAACTCAGGATTTTAGGCATGAAGAAAGAGTGACCCAGCAAGGTCTGTTACTTGAGCAGAAACAAGTCAGGGAAGAGATGATTTTCTCTCTCCTCCGACCTTTAGAAGTTTGCTAATGCTTTCTCTTGCTGCAGAACATAGAGGGCAAGTACTAGATAATGTCCTTAGAAGTAAGGGGAAGCAGAAATACAAAGCTAAGCAAACTGAAGAAAGGACCTATAGGGACCAATAGGGAGCAGTCAGTGTTTGCTCAGTATTTATTTGAATTAAGTTCAATGGTTTTTATTAAACACAGCTTAATTTTACATATTGGTGAAGTAAAAAATGAGTAAATGCCTACTGATTTAATATTTTCCCATATAAGTGGCTTTAGTCCTTGAGATAAAATCTTGGAATTATAATATTCATGAGACCGCTATTTCTCTTACGTATTTGGAATAGCTAAATTAATAAAATGAAGCAAGAATTATTCTATAAAAGTTTGAAATTAGAGTAACTCAACTTTTAAAGGGCTTCTGTGTTTTAAAAGTATCTTTTTTAACTTGTAAAAAGTTGGAGAGTTTGACCTAAGGCACACCAGTTCATTTTCTAAAACATACTTCAAAAACGATGTTGCAACCAGGTTGGTAGCACAGCCCTGTAATTCCCCAGTACTCCCAAGGGTGAGGTAGGGCGGTGGAGGCCAACCAGAATAATTGAGTGCGATCCTGTCACCAAATAAGGAGGGCTGGGGATGTAACTCAGTGAATCTGCAGCACAAAAACAAATGCAAAAACCACTTTGCAGAAAAATAGGGACATGAAATAATATTGCAGAAGGACAAGGAAAGGGGGTAAGAGACACTTGCAAGTGTGACTAACAACAGTTAGACTCCCACATCTGTGTACGAAGAGCTCCGGCTTTCTCAGAGAAATACTGGATACCATAGTTAAACTATTTTCAGGAGCTGCCCTTTCAGACCTCATGTTTCTCATTGAATTCCTTTGGTTTCCTGGGACTAGGCCTGTATTTCCTTACAGAACTTGAATGCAGACAGCTAAAGGGCCTTTTGATTTTAACATCCCTGGAGTCTTAGCTTCCCTCTTAAGGATATCTACACCAATGTGAAATATATCCATTCTGTTCTCTAGTGGGGTGATTGTAGCTTTTTTTAATCTTTGATGAATTTTACCATTTACTTCTCTTACCACAAATCAGAAAAAAATGATCTATATCCGTCAGAATTTGTTTTGGCTGCAAGTGCCTAAAAACTGAAAATATAGTAGCTCAGGAAGATAAAACTTTTATTTTACCTCATATACCTAGAAATAGTCCAGGGTTACTGCACTTGATCTTAGCCAAAAGGCCGAGAAGCGATAGTCCAGGGTTACTAAGACAACTCCATGATGCGGGTAGGGGTGGGGAGGACAAAATCTCTTTTCATCTCTTGTTTTTTCTTTGTCCAGAGGGTGCTTTAGCCAGCAGGAAGGTAAAAGGAAAATAAGGACATTCCCTCCCTCTCTCCCTTTCTTAGGGCTTCAGAGGTGCACATACCACTGTGCTTATGTCCTATAGGCCAGTACTTAGTTAATATAGCTGTAAAAAAAACCAAACAAACTAGGGATTGCAAAGTCCCACCTGGGCAACTTAGTATTAGTTTTTCCCAAAATAAAACGTAAAAAAGGATAGGATTGTAGCTCAGTGGTAGAGTGCCATGTCTGATTCTACTACCACCAGCAAAAGAAAAAAAAAAAAAATCTGAAGGAGGCTTAGAATACATGTCTGTTAAAAATAGAATACCTGGTTAACTTAAAAAGTCTTGACCCTATAGAAGAAAAAGAATAGGGCACAACTATTGATCTCTAGTACATAAATCTTTTTCTATTGTAAGTAGAATATTTTCCTGAAATGCTTAAGGAAAATGTTTAGAGTAACATGAGTATATAACCAATTTTAAATATATATTTTTAAGACTTATAACCTTAAAGTCTGACATTCTGAATTCTTGGCTCTTATTTAATTATTTTAACCTGGTCTAAAGGGGGTACAAAATTAAGTAATTTATAACTTTTACTGATTTTTCAAAGTTCTACTTCTTGCCTAAAGATGCATCTAAAGTTTTATTAAAATTTCAATTATGGCGAATAATTGTAAATATAAGATATTTGAGCATTGTAAATATAAAATATTGAGAAAATATGCTGCTTTTATCTTTATGGAAGATAAATACATCAAATCCACTATTAAAATAATCTATGGAAAACATTTTATTTTTTTCCAGATGGAGAATTTTTAAAAACATTTGAATGTATTTTTTCATTTTTGAGACAAAGTCTCACTTTAGTCCAGGCTGGTCTTGAACTCACTGTATCGCCTAGGCTGGCCTCAGACTCACAGATATCCTCCTCCTCAATGCTGGGAGGAGGCGTGTACCATCACCCCTGGCTCAAAAGATTTTAGCCATAGGTAATATAAAAGCTCTAGGTTAGGATAAATTCAAATATACAGATATTAAATCAAAATTCAGAGTGATTTTTGCTCACTGAAAATTAGTTGCTAAAGTAAGCAGTAGATATAATAGACACTGCAAATTTTGAGTTCTCTTTATCATGATGGAGTTTAAAGAAAATGTCACATGTAATGTGATTATTCCATTTTTTAAAAATGATTTACTTTTAAAACCTTGTATGTACCTCTATAAGTGATAATATTTTTTCCTCCACAGGCAAGAAATTTAATAGCTGTAGGACTGGGAGTTGCAGCTCTTGGATTTGCAGGTAAGATGACATATCAACATATGTGCAGGAGAAACAGTTCCAAATAGCCTCTATAAAGATTCATGAGTACACCCTTTGTATTCTAAAGTTTTTGGTTTTCAGACATTATATATTCCAATTCTTTCTACATTTATAATTATTGGACACTAGTCAGCGAAGCAAAACCTAGATAAAGCTTATAGTGAAAAAATTATTGATATATGAGCTAGGACAACAAACCCCAATAATATTTGATAATGCTGGCATTTTTTTTTTTAGAGTTATAATGTACAGTAAGAAATTTTCAATATGCTGCAATCTAAGTGATAGGAGCTCCTGCATGCTCCCATATTTATTTTTTCTTGCAGATAGGCTTACGTTTTTCAAGCTGTCATTTCTGCCTTATGGACATAGTTATTCCCTAATTTATTACTTCATCTTTTACCGTAACAGCATAATTTCTTGGATAAACACAGGAGAATTTTTTACTGTCAGAATTGTCTTAAGAAATAGCTATAAATATTAAAAATAGAATTATTAATTTAATCATTGTAGTTTGAAATTGTATAACTATTCCCTAATTAAATAAATGTTAATTTGAGAATATTTTCTGTTGATATTTACTTTTTTGTTTCTGAATTGTATGGATTTAATCTTGTTAATTGGATCTTTTTAGGAGAAGCTGTATTCCATTGTGGTTATGTGGAGTTGGTTTCCAATGGAAAAATAATAAATATTTTTATTTTGTTTTATAGAGTAATTTCTCCAACTTTCACTTAAAGCACTTTAATAATTAGATCTTTAAAACTGAGAATATTAGTGATGCAGAGCCTCTTGATCATTTTACCAATGGGGCCTTGCACCAATTATATAACTGTAGTTAACTAATTCTGAATTTTGATGAGAAGAATGTCTCAAAAGGAATTTTGACAAACTTGACCATAAACATAAAACAATATTACTGTTAATTATTATGATAGAACATGCATAGTTATTAACAAATGCATTGTAAGAATTTCATTTTAAATTAGAGAAAGATGATGTACTTATTCCAGATCTTTCAAAAAATGACAAGAATTGATGTGTAGACCATACTGTTGCCAAATTCATGTACTGTCTAGAGCCAAGTAAAGCTGAATAATAGAATTTAGAACAAGTACATTTCAGTTTTGGGGGACTAGATCGTCTAGGTCATAATTTAAGTAAACCTTCATATATTACTTCTTGAAGCTTTTATTTGCTCTTTCATTGAGATGAAAATTCAGTCATTATGTCTGATTGTGGTTTTTCAGAATTTTGAAGTAATTTAAAAGCTACATTTTATACCACTGTGGAACAAATGATAAAGTGTTCTGAAAGATCTGAGTAGTTGAGCTTTCCCAGTAGAACAGTCGATTTGCAAATAAACATAGGATTAGAATTTGAATTTAAGTTTCTAATGTCATACACAGTTTTGTAGTTAGACTTTTGGAGAAAAACATTAGTAGAAGATACACATTCTGACTAGGGTACCAAAGGTAAATTAGCCAAATAGTATTTTTATTTGTTATTTTGCTATAGATTCTTTGTTGTAGAGACTCATAGAAATTTGGAATATTAGGATGCCTAGTCAAGGTAAATTTACAGAGAGAGTAGCATTCTTCAATGAGAAATTGATAATTAATAGAATCCATGTATAATTGATTTTGACTTCAGAAGTAACTCCATTAAAAGCACTTCTATATCATATATATCATTGTAAAAAGCAGTACTATAAATCATTTTACTATCATGAGTATCTTTTATACGTAAAAGGACATTCTGTGTACAGTTAATTTTAGATAGAGTACTAGAATTTTTTTGTACCTTCTTATTTGTAGAGATATGATACGTAAACACTGAAAATTTCTAGTTTTATGATTATGAACTACAACTTGATAAATTTAATGGCTATTAAATGATATCCTATCCTATTAAGTGATTTAGAAATTTGAAAAACGATGCCTTTTTTACTAAATTTTGAAATATTTATTGAAATAGAATATATAAAAAGTCATTAAATGATATGGTAAACACCTCAAAGGTATTGATTGACATTGATTATAGAAAATATATTTGCATTTATTTCTTTTACTCTTTAGGTCGCTATGCCTCTCAGATCTGGAAACCTCTACAACAAGTAATCACAGAAACTGCAAAGACGATTTCATCTCCTGTAAGTTAAATGTGTCTTCAGTTAGAACACTTAGTTTTATTTGTATATCATATTTGAAAATAATTATCCACTGTAGACATTTACTTCATTATATCATTTGTGATTTGCCTATTTCATTAGTTTACTCCAAGTTTCTTGGTCACATTTTTATATATAAACTGTATTCTTAGTTCTGAAAATTAATTACTGTAGTGCAGTTAGTAGTAATGTATCACCTTTTAGGTAACTTTCAACTCTACTATTCATTTATTCAGTAAACATTTACCAAATGTGTCCAATATACCACTCCCTGTGTCAGGAACCGTGAGTAGCTGGTAAACAAAACAGAAATGGTCCTTGCCACTATGGAACATAACCAAGAGTTTTTTCCTCTTGAAATTTGAAACTAGTTCTCTTGAAATGCTGTACAGCTGTAATACACATTCACTTACCAGCATTATAGATATTCTAATGTGCTGAATGTAAATAAAGAATCAGTGATCGTAAATAATCCGCAAAATTGAAGTGTAAACTGTGGTTTGTGATTACTGAAGATAACACAAAGAAAAGCACAGGAGTGCACACAACACAAACAGTGACTTCTGGGAAATAGAGGCACATTTAGAGAGATCAGGTTGGTTTGCAGCAATTAAAAATGAATAGCTTGTTGAGCAAAGCCATTATGGGCTTGTAGGGCATAATTAACCAAGAACAATGACAATCATTCCAGGAAGACATACTGACAAATTATTAAACCCTGGTTCAAAAGAACTGCAGGAGATTTTTCAAACTAGTAAATGTATTTCTGTTTGTTTTATGTTTTTCTATTTATATTTTATTTGGCTAAAGTGTTATTAGGTATTCAGCATGTATGCAGTAAATACTCATTGAGCACCTACTACATGCCAGGCAGTGGGAGTCATGGACCGGACAAAGACATTTTCCTCTAGAACCTGACATTTAATATTTTAGTAGAGACGTAAACAAATGAAGTAAGATATATAATATCTAAAAGTTTAAGTACTTTTAAGAAAACCAAGGCAGGGTAAGTGATTAAAGAATAACAGCAGAGAGGAATCTCTATGATAGGCCAAATAAGACTTCTGTCTTTGTTACTTTTCTTGTTGCTGAGACAAAATAGCGAACACCCAAAGTTAAAGAAGAGGTTTATTTAGCTCACAGTTTGTAAAAGTTTCAATTCATAATTAGCTGGCTCCCAGGGACATTGGCATAGCAGAGGGGCTTTGTAGAGGAAAACAGTTTATAGCAGGAGGAAGGCAACAAGTAGCAAGGAAGCAGCAAGCGAGAACAGCAGCCCTCTTCCTGTCCCTTGTACTCTATCCGGGCCACACCCAGAGTGGGCTTTTCCATTGTCCACACCCAAAACTATGCCAAACCAGTCAGTGGACTAATTTAGTAATCACACACCCTTGATCTCAGCAGCACATGCTTAATCCCAGCCACCTCTGAAAAGCTCCATGTATGAGGCTTTAGGGGGACATTAGACACAAACCATAACAGCCTCTTGCAGAAAGAAGTAAGCTGTAGTAGCATCTAAAGAAAGCTTTCTAAGCTGTAGGAACACAGCAGAGGTCCAAGGTGGCAACGAATTTAGCAAGGGTAACCAGTGAGTCTATTGTGTGAATAATAATAGCTCAGGCTTACATCCCTTAGGGCAGTGATAGTGAACCTTTCAGAGCTTTCAAGAATACACACAGGCTATAACATGCGTACCACAGGTTTGCCACCACTGATTTAAAGACTAATAGATTGGGGGACGCTTAAAATTTTATTCAATGTGTGATGGAAAAAAGCCTTTGGAAGAGTTTTGAGCAATCTTCCAGCTAAGAAATAATTGTAATATGATGGTGTGTTGAAATAGAGTACTGGTAATGGAAATGGTGACATAATTCTTTAAATTAATGTTATTTGTGCTTTCCTATGTTTATCAGTGGAGAGAATCTTAGAAATTCTTTCTCTTCTGTTGGGATGATCTTCAGTAGATATATGTACACCATAAATACAAAACCTTGTATTACTTAACATAGGAAAGGAGGAAAGAGCAAGAAAATGCCAAAACTTTTGCAGAGGCTCATAGGAAAGGCCAGGGAGATTGTAATAGATATACTGAGCCTGGGGCCTGCATTTCTTAAGTAGAAATTCAGAGTTTGTCACTCCCTTTTCTCTTTTTTTGGTCTGAAGGTAAGAAACATGGGTTTTGATAAATCTGCTTCCACCTTTCTTTTCACAAGGTTCTACTTTATCAGTTTACAGTGAAACATCTTAGAATATCTTAATCATCACCATCATTATCATGATTATATCCTCCATGAAGACATTAGTTTTAAAAGCAATTCCTTAAATTTTAATCACTCCAGAGAAACTGAGAAATAAAATAAATGCATACTTTGTCTTCACGCTAATGCTTCCTACATGTCAAACTTCGTAAGTTCAGCATTTACAGTTTTTTGATTTTGTAAATAGTTTTTGAACCAAATGGGATTACTAAAAAAACAGAAATGTAACTCTGTGTCCCAGGGGTTCTGCTTCTCTGTTCATTATTCATTTGCGTTCTCTAAGCTTTAACATCTTCTCCTTAAATCTCATCTTTCTCTTTCTCATACTTCTCCAAAACCTCCATTTTGCTAGACTGCTGCCTCGCTTGTTTATAGGGCAGGCACAGATTTAAACGTTTTATGTTCTCTGGTAAGTAGTCTGCTGCTTTTTTTTCTTCTTCTTCTTTTTACTGTTAATCATCACTCCTGGCTCCTTGAATCTAGTGGAGCCAGCATGAGAGAAGTACAGAAATTTCTGCTGAGACCATACCTCAGTGCCTGTGCTTCTTCGTTCTTGCATTTGCATAGCCAGATTTTACATGGTGATCTTACTCTATTGTAGACAACCTGTTGTATTGGTTTTCTCTTTTTTATTCATTTTGGGGCTTTAGTTTTTTGCTGATGCATTTTCTTTTAGCTCAAAAAGTTCTTAGAGTTTTTTTCTCTATTATTGATGTTCTGAAGTTTCCTAAGACTTCATAGTGAACTGTAACTTATTTGAAAATTCTCTTTTTTAATATCTCTAAAGACACTATCTAGAATTTTGCCAAATTGTTATGTGAGGTGAACGTGATAACCACTACACCCCAGAAACCGACATACCGACCAAATTGTTATGTTTTCTAATTTATCTCCTTTTCCCAAGCCATTTGCCATTTGTTTATTTTGATTCTTTTTTACTTTTCCTTCCATTATACTAGATTTGCTCAGATGTCTGATGATCCTTGGTTGTTGGCTCATATTTGTGAGGACTAAATAGATTAGTGTGAGTCATGTCCTGGCTTTGAAAGCTTACTTTAATGGTTTGATTGAATGAGATGATTGTCTGTAGGCTTTGAGTACATCATGGGTGGGTTTTTCAGTAGGTGTATCTTCCAGAGCAAGTAGACCAAAGACCAGCTTGGGACTCACAGAGTGCGGAGAGGGTAAGCATTGCATATGTACTTCTCCTTGACATATAGCCACCTCCCTAGCCACCTCCCTAACCCTCTCTGGGTTCTGAAATGGGGTCTGGTGGTCACTCCCCTTTGATTCTTCTGGGATCTGCCATCTAGAGTGAGAGTCATCTTAGGCATATGATAGGTGTCAGGCATCTTACGCTCTTTATTAGTATAGTGAGGGTGACTGTTTCTGCTGTTCTGGCTAATTAAGTTACTGTGATTTTTGTTGTCCTTTTTTTAAATCTGAATTTATTGTTCTTGGTTTCCTGAGAAGAGTTTCTTCTGGTCCTAGGGGATGCTGTGCTTTTTCCATAGTATGTGCAGTCACACCTGTTTTATCACTCTTCAAAGATTTTTTAGACTTTCTGGTTTGCTGCTTATCCCATTTCTTGTTTTCTAGGCCTATTATGAATTTTTCCAATGGAAAATGTTTTTCTCATTTCAAAGATACTTTGGAAAGCAAATGACCTTATAATTAAATTTGCTCTTTTGAACTGAAGCCCTTTGCTTGTTTTTAAATGTTTAATGTATATTTTGACTTAGCTGGTGTCTAATTACACCAAATTTTGGGAGGCGTAATTTTGTCTACCTTTCAAAAGCATTTATTTATTTATTTTTTGAGATAGAGTTTCCTTTGTAGTTCATGCAGGCTTTAAACTATGTAACACAGAGTGTTCATTTGTAAATTCGTCCTTTTATTTGAGTACAATTTTTAAAGATCAAACCTCTGTTACAGTCTGGTGAAAATCATGGGAAAATATATCAATTAAATATCCTGTGACTATAAATCAAGTAGATTTTATAAATAATAACATTTTATAGTTATGGTAATATATTTCTTATAGTAAGAATATAAAATGATTTAATTCTTACCTAGTTATCTTGGGTGACCTTTTTTGTTTTTGTTTCCTTTTTAGGTTTTTTAAGACAGGATCTCGATATGTAGTCCAGGCTGCTCTTAAACTCACTTTGTAGTCCAGGCTGGCCTCAAACTCACTGCAGTACACCTGCCTCAGCCTCCTGAGTGCTGGGATTATAGGCTTGCACCCTATGTCTTGCTATTTTGGGTAACTTTTGTGTTTCAAGCAAGTGAATTAGCTAATGAAGATTAGCTTAGCTTGAGGTTTTTTTCATACCTCCTTGCACAACATATGGGACTGCTGTGACTAATGCTACTTTTAGAAATAAATTATTTGGATTTTTGTTGTTTTTATGTGCTTTATGAATGGAATAATATAGTAATTTGTAAGGTCCTGGATGTATTTCCAACAGCATCATAAAACTGGTAGAATCCCACTGTTTCTGTTCTTGGAAATCTTTTCAGAAAAATACAACCTTCTGTTCCACCTTTATGACAATATAGTTATTTCTTATCATAACCTTATTTTTATAAATCTACTCATAGGTGTTTCCTTTGGCCTACCACAGCATTGTCAGAGAATGGTTTTTCAATGCCTTTTGTCTTTATATGCTAAATATTGCAAAATTGGTATTTCATTATCAAGCTTTAAAGAACCTTTTAGTT